AGAAATATTGAATACAAGACAAGGGATATTATTGTTTCACTGTATAGAACACTTGTAAGTGCCTCATTTAGAGTACTGAGTACAGTTTTGGGCTCCCTTCCTCAAGAAGGACATTGAATTGTTGGAGAAGGTTCAGAGAAGAGCCACTAGGGTGATACCTGGTATGGTGGGATTGTCCTATGAGAAAAGACTAAAATTTCTAAACTTGTTTTCTATGGAGAAGAGAAGTATCAGAGGGAATTTGACTGAAGTGTTTAAAATTATTGATGTATTGATAATATAGATCCATCAAACTTTTTTGTGTTTAGCAGTAAAAACAATAGGACAACGGGGCATAAATTTTGCCTCTACAATATCTGACGGCAACCCATTCCTAAGACTAATCACCCTGTTAGAAAAATAAAACTGTCTTAGCTGAAGATGACTCCTACCTTGCCAAAATGTATATTTGTGTCCCCTAGTCCTACTATTCTGATTGTTAAATATGAAAAACGATAATGCATCAACACTATCAATTCCCTTTACAATCTTAAATACTTCAATCAGATCCCCCTAACCCTTCTTTCTTCAAGAGACAACAATCTTCGTATGACAACCCCTCCATCCCAGGCACCATTCTAGTAACCCTTTCCAACAATTCAATGTCTTTCCTAAGGTAAGGAGCCCAAGACTGAATGCTATTCCAAATGTGGCCTAACTAGTGACCCGTACAATGAAAGTATATCCTCATTAGATTTATGTGAGACTACCCAGGTGTATATATTGCTATATACATTTATCTGTTTTACACATAAACTAATAGTTTCAGCACATTGCCCCTGGTTCCAAATCAAATTATATTATAACTGTATTGGGGTTCTTTCCAAAGTTATTATTGGTAACTATGATATAGTAAAGTGCAGCCACCTATAAATAATAAAATGCAAGCATTAGTTCTGGGCATCGTGAAATAACTAACTAAATTCAGCTAAACAAAGACTTTCCAGCTTAATTTTATTGAAAGTCTGGATTCCTAATGTTACTATAGTCAATACTCGAACATAACTTCCTCACTGCATATAGGGAAGTTATTTTTAGGTGCACTGGCAACATAAATCTAACAAAGATTATGCTGTATTTTACATGGAGATTTTGCTATTCTGTCAGATTAGATGAGGTGAGTGATTCTCGTGAAATCTCTACGAAGTTTTGCCTCGAAAAAATTACCAGGAAGCTAAAAAAGCATCGACTCCAAAGCCCTTTCAAATGTGTTTTTGAACTTCTATCTATAATCTCCATATGTACAAACTGTTTATGCATTAGATATTATATATTCTGTTACCACCCATTCTCAACTTTTTTAATCAAAGAGCTATTACCTAATATCCCATGGATATCTCTAATAGTTAAACTGCTCAATATCTTAGAAGAATTGCAAAGTCATTTTGGTTTAGCTTATTTTACAACCAAAAAAGACCATCCTAATTTCAGATAATCAAGTGGAAATCATAAAATGTAGCATATTCATTATACCCTACGATACCACCTGATAGCTCAGAAAGAAAATGTCACAACAGCCTTTCACCTAAGTTGTTGAACTCTTAGTTATTATCTCCATTTGTGTAAACTGTTGATGCATTAGTGTTATATCTACCAGCACCAGCCATCTTAACTTTCCCATAACCATGTGAAAATAACACAGCATAACATATACATTTTATGGGGAACAGTTTGGAAAGTGAAGATTGCTTCTTCTTTTCAATCATTGGGTGTTTCACCTAATGACTTTTCTAGCTTATATCTTTGTGTTCAAACCCAGCCATTCTGATTAGGAAATCATTGTAGACAGTTTCATGGACTGTAAGAGCTGAATCCGACAGTTCTTTAGTGAACTCATCCTGAACAGCCAGATGAGTATTCTCAGCTCCTTCCTTCTAATCCTCATGGTTGAAGTAGCATAATATAGTGCTTTCATCTTTATCCAATTTGATTACCTCCTTTTCTAACTCTTGTTCTAGCCAGTTCACCAGAAGTTTATCAGTAATGTTCAAATGCAGCTGATTGACATGTACTATACATTTGCTTGTACCTTTCAACTACTGGAACTCATACATTAAGGGATCAGTTAATTGGATCACAACATAGGGTCCAGTCCAATCAGAAACAAGAGGTTTCTTTGCTACTGGCATATACCAAAATCACAACTAGTCTCCAATTTTGCACATCCATTCCTTCACTGTCTTAGCACCTCTTCAGTTGTATGGTAGCCTTTCTTAGCTGTTGATGTGAAAACCCATGCAATCTTTCACCACTGCTATTGTAGCAGGATCTATGAAGATTCCTTCTCTACCCACAATATAACTGAGAAATTCCACTTCCATGCATATTAACACACATATTCTGGGCATCAGTTTAAGCCTGCTTCTTCTATGCACCTTAATACCATTTGCAGATTGCCAGCCGCAAACTAAGATGTGGGACCTAACACCAAAATATCAACAATATAGGTCAGGCATTTCTCCCTCTACAACCCTATAAATGTTAGCTTTAGTTAGCTTTCGAAAGTTGCAGGTCATTATATATTTATAATTTATATGAGTTTTGGTACAAATACTTTTTCATATGACCCTAATAGAGATATAGACAATTTTGGAATTTTTATCTTTTTCTCAATTTTTCAGCGAAAAAGCACAATTTGGGGTTTTTCATGAACTATGCATGTGTGTCAACCAACTTACATGGGTTCTTGTATTTTTGATTTTCCTTTGTCTTTTGATGTCAAAATTGGCCATGTTGTGATTGCGTGGCGGAGACATGTTGTATTCGCCCGCGAATGTTAATCTCTTTAATTATTATAGTTTGTTTGTTTGTTAGAAGTTAAGCAGAAAGCAACACAATGGGCTATCTGTGCTCTGCCCACAACGGGTATCGAAACCAGGTTTCTAGCGTTGTAAGTCCGCAGGCATACCGCTGTGGTACCTGATGATGACAAAACCATGTCGAAACGTTGTACATTTGCTGTTATGTTAAACTTATATTAAAGTTTTTCTTCATTACCCATTCAAGCCGTCTCCAGCCATTATTAGTCTCAAAGTGGGTTCCTCGTCATCGAATTTGAATTCATCTGAACTGCGACCTTTCACCTACAGTTCACATCAGCTAGAATTAATAGTCATAGGGTTGCTGCAGAACGTCAATACACAGTGAGAGGAAAACTCATCCACTGCATATAGAAATGTAATGCATTCTTCAAGTGTCTGGGGAGCATCTATTGAAAACAAGAATGTATGCTCCATAGAGTTATTTTCACTCAGCTAGATCAAGTGAGCGATTTTACTGGACCGTTAAACAACATTTTATCTCATAAAATTCACTCTGTAGCTCAGAAAGCAAGGATGCAATGTCACTGCCTTTTCAACCACATGTCTGTCCTAGTTATGAAGTAATCAAATTGCACGCACACAATGTAGTAATTACAATATACCATGAAATACTACTTAGTATTTCAGAAAGCAAAGGTCACAATGCCTTTCAACTAAGTTTTTAAACTCCTAGCTGTTATCCTCAGTCATACAAACTGATGATATGCTAGGCACTGTTTCTACTAATACAGCCATTCTAACTGTGACAATCAAGCAGCTGTCATTCTATATCCCATGGATCTCTTATATAGAGAAATGCACTTGACGGTTTGGAAAGTAAGGGTTGCTAAGCCTTTTCAGTCCCATTAATCTTGAGATCAGTAAACTGTCCTAACTTCTAGTAATCAAGTGGTAATTACAAAATGTAGTACGTATATTGTAACTTTAAACAATATCCTAAAGCTCAAAAAGAAGGAATGTATTGCCTTTCAGTTGAGTTTTTGAGCCCCTAGCTATCATCTTGAGTTATACAAACTGTTGCTGTAGTAGCAGCTTGGTCGACCGTCACAGTTGTCTTTCACCTCTAACTCAAATTTTTCATCAACTGGCTCATCATGGATGGCCAGATAAGTCCTTTCAGCTCTTTCTTCCTCGTCTAGTGGATCGATGTGGGATGATACGCCATCCTCATCTTTCCCTGTCTCAATGCTCTCAGTTTCTGAGACATTATGTGTATTATATGTTTGCCTCTTTATAGTAAAGCTACTGAGGCTGTTTGTTGTTGCTATAGTATGGGACAATACTATGTACCTGCTACGTCCTTAGTTTTGTTGTAATTGTTTTTCGTAATTACTATGCTTTTCAGAGTTTCCAGTTTGGATGCAGATAATATCTCCAATAAACAATTTAACTTTCCTTGTTTTGAGAGCATAAAAGATGTGAGTTCGCAATTATCCGAATTTCTTGGATGGAAGATAGCACGTGAGGTCCAGAAATGGAAAGCTTTTTTTCTCTCTCAGTGAATCATATATGAGTCAAGGGTAGCCACGTCCAAGAACTGGATTTACATGGATAAGATTTATGTTTGTGAGATGTGTTTCGTGTGCAAATCTGACTTTTTAGTGCTACTGTTTTTGCGCATGAGGTATTTTCATGTTAAACTGATTTCCTCACAGAATATTATATAGGTATGCTTTATAATGGGAGAATGGACAAGATAAATTACAAAGTAATACTGAATAAATAAACTATCTGAGTTGAAGCAAAAAAAGTAAACAGACTGGACACGATACATGACACGAAATGAAAGCAGTCTTTATTTATCAAAGACTAAAACATGTGTTACTTGCTTTCCGAATGCTGGATATATTTCAGTGGATTTCTGAATTGATTAACTGGTTTTCTTCTTTAAAGGCGTCTTCTCTTTAACCAACTCACTTAAGATCAAGAACAATAATGTTTACTTCACCATAATCTATTCCAAAATGTTTAAATCCATGTTTCCTACTCATTGGATTTATCCCTAGTGACTAACGCTTCACACAACTGGTTATTTTCATCCAACAAATGGGACGCCGTAATATCAAAATATCATCTGGTCTACCATTGGAGGACACTACTGCATATAGTGCAGCATTGCAGGTGTTATCTTCATAGAATGACAAAGGAACAAAGTCACCTTAATAATTTTCTTGACCACATTCTATGTGAAAACTGCATAGATTTAGAATAAATGAAAATGTTAAAAAAATTCTAATAATTTTAGAAAATAGAAAACGTATAGTATGCTTGCATCCCACATAAATAAAGATGGATTTGCCACTGTAAGACAGAGTTTTTGAGTTTTAAGGACTGTAAGTATGAAAAGAGTTCAGTTTTTAGTGTTGTAATATAATAAGACCCAAAGCTAGCGTTTTGCAATTTTGGATTTTCGATTTGAGAACGTTTACTAGTATTTTCTATTTTGTACTCTTTATCTTTAACTCTGAGGAGAAAATTGTTTGTTGAAAGTTTAAAGAGCGATTTGAATGTCTGGGCTTAATTTTAATATTACATTTAGGTTTTAACGCGTAGTTTTTGACTAACCTTTGACTATAGTTTAAATATTGATTTGAAATCATTTTTAAACAATAACATAGCTTTTTAAACTTTATTTTGATACATATATGGAGTTAGTTTTGCCTGATAAGAGCTTTTCAACAAATTTTTCACATTTCTCTTATTAGCTTGACTAGATTAAGACTCCAATCCGGTATCTTACGAACCTACATTTAGCGAACCTGATTGACTACTTTGCGAAAAAAAACTGTTTCAAGGAAAATGTCATAATGTCATCTGGCACAGGAAAGGCATCTGACTGTCAACACCCACCGCTAACTCTTCGACTACTCTTTAGCAACAAAAAGTGGAATTAATTGTCATTTTATGACACTTTCACGGCTCGAAAGGCTTGCTTGTTCGGCGCCAGGTTTCGATCCCGAAACCCACAGATTACTAGTCGAACACCTTAACCACTAGGCCAATGCCAAGTCCCATGTACGTAATCCTTTTATTTTATATTATTTTGCTTTAATTCTATTTACTTTGTCTATCTCGAATTTCATTTATTTGATATTTTCATTCTAAAATTCTTAGGTTTACTAGTGGTTGAACTGTTTATTCTTTCTTTGATTTTGTTACTGGACAGCTATCTTCCCACAACTGGCTGCAGATAATGAATGTGTAGTTAGATTCAAGACATTATAGGTTCAAACACCTGAATCTGATCCTTTAAGTTCATTTTTGTTCATCTGTTCATAGCCGACTCTCAGTCGCGTTGGTGTTAAATTAAAGATACGGACTATCTTCAACGCATTTTTTTAAATGATAAAACGCAGTTATACACCACTTTTGACTTTATAGTTTTTATGTTCAGTTTGTTTCTGTGTGTTTTGTATTTGCGTGTATTTGGTTTTAAGTTTTAAGATTATATATAATATATATTTTTAATTTAGCATATATTGTTCAATAACCACTCAGAATACTTACTCTCACTCTTGTCGTTTTTTTCTTCTTTTCTTTGTTTTTACTCATGCATAATAAAAAACTAACATTGGCAAAATATATCATATTGTTATCTTTTGTTTTTGAATTTCCGCACAAAGCTACACGAGGGCTATCTGCGCTAGCTGTTCCTAATTTAGCAGTTTAAGACTAGAGGAAAGACAGCTAGTCATCACCACCCACCGACAACTCTTGGGCTACTTGTTTAACAACGAATAATGGGATTGACCGTAACATTATAACGCCCCCACTGCTGAAAGGGCGAGCATGTTTTGGTCAGATTGTGAACCGAGCGCTCTAACCACCTGGTCATGCCAGGTCTACCTTTTGTTGAGCACAAATCTACACAATGAGCTATTTGTGCTGTGCCACTACAGGTATCAAAACATGTTTTTTTTTAGCATTATACGCATTTAGACTTATCATTGAGCCAAGATTTTGTAACCTTAAGTTAAATTATTTCATTAACTGTTACTATAAAATATATGCCATAGAGTTCACTACCTTTATTTTGTGACTAAGAGTATCTTCAACTGGTATTATCATTAATAACATAAATAAATATCTGTAATTTTCTACGCAAGCTCCAGCGGTGGTTGATTTTGTATAAGCTAAACACCTATAGATGTCACCACTAAATCTTCTAATCTTGATACGTCTACCATTTATTACTAAGTTGTGTGCTCCCACTTTGAAAGAAAGGCCTAAACTTGGTTAAAGTAATTGATATTTATCGGCTACGTAGATTTTCAGTTTTATTATAGTTTAATTAATGCTTTTGTATGAATTGTAGGGTAACGGCTTAGGTCTAGCCTTGTATATGTATGATCTGATTCGAGGACCAAATGATGTGAAACTTTTAATTATGAGAGGTTCTTGCCAATTTTTAGTGATGGACTGTGAAACCATGTTTCAGTTTGTGAGATTTTTAATTCATTCCAAAAAGCGGTGACACTTTGCTGTGGACGTCATTCTTTGTTGAAACTAAAAAGTTACAACTTTATTTAAGATTTAAATTATTATTCAAATATTCTTTAATTTTCCTAAATAAATAAAATACCAAAGTATTTTAACTTCAATTATAAGTGCATTAACTAAGTCACCTTAAATGTTAACTTTAAAGTTTAAATCATGCCGAAACTTTATGTGGAGGCAGTTGATGGGGGCTTTTCATACAGTTATTTTGATCACAGTTATTGTTGTTTTATGTCACTGTACTTTCCCGAACTGTTCAACACTTTGTGCTGTCTCGCTCTCAGTCAATCCAGCAAAAGAGAAAGGCACAGATAAATCAACAGGGCCAGGTAGGTAGAACTAAACTCTAAAGTAAAAATCTAAAAATACAATTTAGTTTTAAATTTGAGTTGGGAAATTAAACCAATACTAATAATAGCAATACTATTACTATCAGTACCATGGTAGTAGTCGAATTAAAGCTCTTACGCTTAATTAACAGTGATGAATTATCGGTGACAGTAGGGCTAATTAAATTTAAAAATAAAATGAAAGTTGAACGAGATATTATTACTGCATTGTAATTTGTACTATTGAAGGCCTAGTACACTAGTGATACACTAATGCCATGTGATGGGATGAATCATATAACAGTAGACTAGTTATATCATAGTAATATTCATATTTCAGAGAGTAAGATTATGTAGTGGGAGCAGCTATATGTGGACATCGATCTGTTGATATGGTCTCTGCTCTACCAATGAATTTGAATAATAACATTCACAAAAAGTGATTACATGCTAATAGAATGATGCTAAGCAGTAAAAATAATCGAATGTTTAATTTTTGGAAACCCAGATATATACTATTTATTTAGGAAAGTTCTGTAGTACAGCTATTTTTGAAATTGTAGAATGATATTTGTGTTCAATGTGGTATGTGAAGTTTAATTTTGTATGTGTGTGTGTGTGTGTGAAGATTTGTTGGATATATTTAATAGAAATGGAAGACTACATTTAGTTTTTGTTTTAATGATTTGAATGGTTGTTTAGGTAGATGGAGCAAAATTGAAATGTTTTCAATCTAAGCATTTTTTTGTTGAATAGAAATTCTGATATGAAATAATGGAATTTGTTTAATAAAAATAAATTTAAGACTATTAAAAATGGCTAACAAATTTACTACTGTTATTGTTATTGAAACTTAGTGAAGTTATTATTTGAATAATCAACATTATTAAGTAAAACCTATCAATGTTCATTGTAATAGAGAACTGACAGATGTTTCAGTTGTTAGCATTTAATAAGGTTTCTGACAATAAGCATTTATGTTTATTCTGAACCCATTCTACATGCATTTTAAAACTACTAAAGAAGCATACATATATTAGTGATGCCTTTAGCAGGCAGTTTTGTTAATTGTATATAGTATTGTTAAGGTAAAAATAATATTGTAATATTTAACATGTCAAGGTTGTCCAATTTTTTACTATTGGTAGGTCATATTGTATTTTTAAAGCAATCTTATTGGCTGGACATTAGGTATCAATAAAATCAAAGTATCTTGGCTTTTTTTCAAGTTTATTGATTTTAAATATTGGAGTAATGCAGCAATAGGTAACAAGCACTAAACAACTAAACATCAAAGGCACTAAAAATAAACTCAGTTTTTTAGCTTCATTTTGTAGTTAAAATTTTGCATTATAGTTGGCAGGTTGTTTGGAGCTCTCTTCATAACCATCATCTGGACACCCCAGTTGTGTATGGTCTTTGTGTTTTGTTTTTTTATTTCTGTGAATTATATTAAACAGTTTTAATTGTCATTGATTAAAGTTTCATGTGTGTATTTGTATAAAGACTTCAGTGATTTATTTAATTATTATTGTAACAATTTCTTTGTATGTTATAAATAAATCCATTTATGACTGTCTGATTAAAAGTTTTTAAGAACTGTCCAAAAGACAACTTAATTAAGTACACAAGGTTTATCCAATGTATCTCATAACTGTAGAATTACCAGGAATATAACATATGAGGAACTTGAGCCATTAGTTGTCCAATTCTTTCAAAAGAAACTTTTAATCTCTTGGACAGTTATTGAAAGTTTTTTTCTAAGTTCCACCCAAAAATGAAACTTTCTTTCCAAAATTCAAATATGTGATATGAAATTCTTATAAAAGATCACATTACAGGCTTAGTGTAAGTCTTGTGCTGTCAGATTTATTACCGAGATAATGCAGAATAAAAGTTTATTTAAGTATACTAATCTTGCAAGTTCAAGCATGTAAGAGGTTGTATAAGATCTAAAGTTGTGATTTTTTTTTATTGTGTTAAAGGTGAGTTAGCAGAATTTTTCTAGTTCTTTAGCATCTTATAGAAAAAATATCCTTGAACAGAATATTGAAAATTCTTATAGGATTATGATAATGGTAAAATTATTGAATGAGTGTTTCAAATGTGTTATCACAATATACATGTAGGTAGTGGTGGACACAAATATTGCCCTGCTAGCCCACAAACCAGGTTATTGGGCATTATGACAATAGACCAAGACTTGTCATTTATAACTCTCATTTCCTTACAGAGGAAAGACAATCTCCTGTTTGTAAGCTTTATTTGATGTCTGGAGCATAATGCTACTTGACTTTTATACAATTTCTAATGTCATATGTAGAAATGATAATAATTGTTTTGTTACTCACAATACTAAATATCAAAGAGTTTTTAAGGAACAACCAATGCATGTGAAGATTAAACACTATTTCTGTACAAGTTTAGCTTCAGCTACTGAATACGTAAGACACTAAGACACGCTCTGTTTTATAGGTACAATTACCAAATAGGAAAGTTTAATGTAAAGTCAATGTGTTTAAAGAGTAATGAAATTAAACTTAATAAAATGTTATGTTTACCATAAACAGTACGTGGGTATTCTTTAACAAGAGAACTAATCTTTTAAAAACCACTTGTGTAATTATTTTTCAAAGAAGGTGATGTATTCAAATATATACATGTACATTCTTCATTTTCAGATAACATATTTATGTAAATTAAGATAAATTTATTTAGTTTTCATACCTTATCACAGTAGGTTCAGATGTTTGTTTCTCTTATTTGTATATTATGTTAGTTTGGTGTAACTGTTTTGATAATTAGACTGAAATGAAATATACATGTATCAGAAAATTAGTTTTTTTCTATAGCATACATCCTTTGATCATGATAAATTGACACTTTGATTTCTACATAATGATACTCAAACTGATAGTTAATATTTCCCATTATTTAAATTCTAGGTACATGGCTTTGTTTGACTAGTGACTGATTACACAGAAGTGGTTACAGTTCAGATATTATCTTAGTGGCTACATCATTTTGCTCTAGAGTACACTCATTCATCTGTGTTGTACCTTTTGAGTAAAAGTTTGACACTAGTAACCAGAAAGTTATCAGGTGTGGTACGTTGTAAACATTTACAGTACATAATATTCAATTACTTTATCAAGAAGAATTGTTTATCACCCAGTACTTAGTAAGTTGTGTTTCCTGGCGCTTGCATTTAAGCTTTACTAATTTTTAATTATATGCTCCTCTTTTACTTGTATTAGGAACGTTTGGTGTACAAAACATATTTTAAACTGATCTAATGATTAAGTTGTAAAAAAAATAATTATTCTTTAATTATCCCGTAGTATTCAGAAAGTGTTAATATAGATAAAAAGTTGCTGTATGGCAGAAGGTAATTCTGCACGTTAAGGGCATTCCTAATTCTCAAACAAACAAACAAACAAAAAATCATTGCAGATAAATGTAATGTTTTGTAGCATTATACCTATCCATTTTGTCAGTATGTACCATATTGTCAGAAAAGCTATCCCATAATATATTTTTTGAAAGAGAGAGAGGTAAGTCTACTTGAGAGTAAGTTTGTATATATGTTTTCAAAGCTTAAATGTGTTAATGTTTTTTTAAAAGAAGCATAAACTAGTAAAATACAAAATGCTGTTTGTTGAGGTTGTGAATGAATATTTGTAAATAGTAAACAAGAAATGAGAAACAAGGTTCACATACAACAGAACAAATTGTGACACATAACTATGTATGTCACCAGTAAATGAAGCATTAAAAAATACGAAAATTAACTAAACATAATAAATACATATATGCACTAGCTTTATGTTACTTATAATCAGGTCAGTGAATGAATGAGGTCACCTTGATTCATCTGTTTTAATGTATTAGTTGGATCTGTTTTATTCCTTGTCAGGTTTGTTGTGTGTTGATTTTCTAAAAGATCATGAACATGTCATACAAAGGAAGAATTACTGAAGATCTGTTAAGGTGAAAATAAATTGGCATTTTTTCTTAGCTGTTAAATATAATGAGTTAAAAAAAGTTTAAGAAAGAGTTTTTATCAGTACCAGGTTAAAAGGAAAAGAAGCAAAATCATTCATAACCTCTGAACCTTTTGACTCAAAGTTGATAAATATAACATACCCAATATACTGTAATATGCTTTCTCTAAGACTTTGATTTAATTATTTAGCCATTGTAAATAACTAAAACGTTTTGGTCACACTAGAAAAACTTAAGCCACACCAAAGAATGTTAAAGAAAACCATAACTTTTTTCACCATACACAATACAGGAAGCAGTAAGGATTGATTTACCTGTGATACTTTTGCAACACTGGCATAACTTGAGTTAAATATGATTTATAATTGAAAACGTCCTTATTTTGTAGTTTTTGTTTCATTTAGTCATCAGAGCATACATTTCATATTGGTCATGCAGCTGAATAACATTCAATGTAACTGGACTTCTATATGTGGTCTTTTTACTTCTGAGGTCACCTTTGTTTGGGATTAGTATAAGGAAGGTTCTACTGTAGTCTGCACTGTACATTTGCTGTTAGTTGATATTTTTCTGTTGTTTCTATAAGAGTATTTACTGGAACCTGCTATTCTTAAGTCTCTACAGATGTCTTCTTAGTAATGCCGTGCTTCATGATAAATGTATATGATTTTGATGTGTGAATTCAGAGTACATTACTAATTAAATTTTAGCAGATTGTGTTATGTGTAAGTTTTCCATGACTATTTTCAGAACCAGTACTGAGACCTGAACCTAGGAAATGTGAGCTGTAGAATTTTTTTTCTTCATAGGATATTTTATTAGCACGATTTTTTAAATGTACAATAGTACAGTTGCTCTCTTCATACCTTAGAAAGATTTCCACCACACACACACAAAAAAAAAAAATAGAAAAAAAAAGAATGCGTCATAGCGCCACTTTTATCTAAGCATTATTACGAAAAATATATAAATTATTTTTTGGTCTTAAACTTGTG